GTCAAGGGCATGTACCTTGGTTGCAGGCTCAAACCCCAGGCCTGGTCGGGGCCAGTGAGGGAGGCAACCAATGGAGGCGTCTCTCTCACATCCATGGTTCTCTCTCTCTCTCTGTCTCTTCCCCTCCCTTCCACTCTCTCTAAAAATCAATGGAAAAACATACTTGAGTGAGGATTAACAACAATAAAAAAGAGAAGGATTTTCTGAATCTGCATACCTGAAGATAATAGCCTATTCTGATTAGGGAATTCACCTAACAAATGAGATTCTAAGTTATCTATTATCTTTCCAGGTAACCCCAACCTTTTATTCAACATCTCTTCACTTAAAAGATCATGTAGATAAATGACTAACCGTATTTTATGGAAATTAGTAAGATACTTATCAATACAAAGTAAAGCAGTCAGTTGCTTTCTTATGTATTTGTTGATGACTGCTCTTTTTGAAGGCATCACCCAGTAAAAGATAAAGTTTGATGGAACAAACTCAAACAAAACATGATTCCAAATCAGAAAGTAAAAGTATAGGAGTGTAATCATATGTTCCCATTAAGGAAAGAAATTACGCATAGTATAGGATAGCTGAGTTCCATATACAATTTGTAAATAGGAAGATAATTGCCTGGAATTATTTTTCCCCTAGAAACAAACTTTTAAAACATGTACTTAGATTTCAGTATTTTGCAAAGAATTTTAAATAGCATAACATTCAATTATAAAAGCAATAACATATGTCAAGTAATTTGGGTATAAAGAAGTAACTACACTCAATAGGTGGTTCAAAGCTCTTGGCTCTAACTGCACTAGAATTTGTTAAAGTGGAACCATCCAGTGTTTCATCACAATTAAGGCTAAATCACCTATTAAGAACCAAAGCCTCGACTCTACAAGTGTCTAGATAACTACATGAGAAGAATTAAATAGAATACATTAACTTCAAGGGTACATTTTATCAATGTTTTCAAAATAATAAATCACTTTTACTTATGAGAATAATTTTAGGTTCTCTTAATGACTTATTCTATAAAATTATTAAGGGCAATTAAATAATAATGATCTTAAATGGCATATATAATTTCAGTTTTAATTTTTTATATTGGGATTGCTTTTATGTACCAATTGTATACAGAAGATGCCTGCTGATTAAAGCCAAGTATCACATGAGCTCATTCATATGTGGAATCTAATGAACAAAATAAACTGATGAACAAAATAGATCCAGAGACAGAATCATGGAACAGACTCTGAAATCTCAGAGGAAAGGTGGGGAGGGTCTGTGGGTGGGTGGGAAGAGATCAACCAAAGAACTTGTATGCATATGCATAACCCATGGACACAGACGATAGGGTGGTGAAGGCTTGAGGGGGAGGGGTGAGCTAGAAGAGGTCAAGGGGGAGGGGAAATATGTAATACTTTCAACAATAAAGATTTAAGAAATAATTTTTTTAAAGCTATAGCAGCTTGTAACTCTTAGGACAGAGAGGTGGGATTGCCTTTAGAATAGGTGGCCTCTTTGTTCTAGAGGAGGCTCCTTTGGAAGACCATTTTAGGTATGCAGTTTTAAAATCTTAATGAAGAACTAAATTTTTTGCCTGACACCTGACAGTGCAGAGCCCTCCCTTCACACAGCCAAATCTTGGTCTGTTTAGGCCTGATAAACTCTGCTAGCCTCCTCCTGACTATAGCAGATCTACCTAATACATAAAAAACAACAACAACAACAACAACAAACCCACAAAAAGGCAGTCAAAATGAGGACACAAAGAATCATGTCCCAAATGAAAGAACAGGAGAAATCTCCATAAAAATAGCAAAATGAAATGGAGCCAAGCAACTTATCAGATACAGTGTTCAGAAAAATGGTTATAAATATAACATATAGATACAGAGAACAGTGTGATGATAGCAACCAGACAAGAAGAAGAAATAAAAGGCATCTAAATTAAGAAAGGAAGAACTAAAGCTGTCATTATTGCCAGATAGCATAATACTGTATACAGAGAACCCTAAAGACTTCACCAAAAAACTACTGGAACTGAGAATTCAGTAAATTAGAATACAAAATTAATATTCAGAAATTGATGGCATTTTTATGTACCAAGAGAACAATCCAATTTACAATTGCAACAACAACAACAACAAAAAGATATCTAGGAATAAATTTAACCAAGGAGGTAAAAGACTTGTACTCAGAAAATTATAAGATAATAAAGAAAGAAACTGAGCAAGATACAAATAAGTGGAAACACAGTATTCATATACTGTATTCATGAATAGGAAGAATTAACCATTAAAATGTCCATATCATCCAAAGCAACCTATAGATTTCAACGCTATTCTTATCAAGATACCAATAGTGTATTTCACAGAATTTGAACAAATGTTCCAAAAATGTGTATGGAACAACAAAAGACCCTAAAGAGCCTCAGCAATCTTGAGAAAGAACAAAAAAGTTGGAAGAATCATGCTACCTGATATCAAACTACACTACAAGGCCATAGTGATCAAAATAGCCTGGTCTTGGCATAAAAACAGACATATAGATCAACGGAAAAGAACAGACAGCCCAGAAATAAATCCATGCCTTTATGGTCAACTAACATTTGACAAAGGAGTAAAGAACATACAATGGGCTAAAG